CTAGGAAGCCTAGTCCGAACTACCTAGTCCGTGCCGCGCGGCACGGGGTTCGAACGAGCCGGGATTTAAAAATGGCGGGGCCCGGCTTATGCAAATGAAGCCCGGGAAATTCAAATCCCAGGCTTCATTTGCAAGTGCGGTATGCCTACATTACTCCGCTAGTTCGAACTAGCAGGGTAGTGTAGACATACCCTCAGGGACAAGGGAAGGAGATGGCACTTCAAGTCAGGGCCCTGGCTGGCTTTGGCAATGACAGCCTCCAATGCCCTGTCCGCTGCCCAACCCCCCCTCCACTCCCGCCAATGAGATCCAGCAGGTGGTGCTCACAGAAGAGTCTCAGATTTCTTCCTAGAGAGCCAAGTGGGCTCAAAGGGAATCTGCTCTTCTCTCCTACTGGCACTGAGATTTGGTGTGGTGGAAAGAATTGTCCTCACAGTCAATTCCCTTCCTCAGGACAAGAGCTTTCAAGCCAATGAGAGGTAAGGGGTCTATCTCCATCCCGATGAGCTGTTCTTAAATCAGGAGTTCAGAAGGATGGGACCAGCCCACCCACTGAAAATTGTGACAATCCCTTTCTCAAATGCCATGATCAATAAATCAGATATTGAACCCTGAGCACTGTCTCAGCCCCAGGGATAGAGGGGAGATTGTTTGCATAATATGCACACAAGTCTATTGCTCTTGACCTGCCTCCTTTCCCCACAGTGTCAACTTCTGCATCAGGTCCAGAGTGTCCCAGGAGAGAGCCAAGGCTGTAAAGAGCAGCAGAGCCCTGTTCTGATTCACCACCTCCCATCCTGAATTTGATGTAAGTGACCTCTGACCCTCAACTTCTTGATGTCAGGCATAGTCAGACTGGCTCAGAGACGCTGCAGGACTTGCAACTGCAGGAGCTGTGGGTTGGGAAGGTTCCCTTTGGGAAGGCAGAGTCAGAGCAGGGAATGAAATATGCTTAAGTCAAGTTCATCTTCTCCTGGTTCAGTGGAGATGCTGGGACTTTAAGAAGACCATGTTCCAATACCTGTTCCAGCCAGGTTCATACCTCACCTTGGGTTGCTTCTTGCCCTTTTGAAGCAGTTGGGGGTGCAAGTACTTTTGCAGGACCTTTGCTCCAGGATCTGTTAGGAGCAGAAGGAGCTGAGGGTCTAGCTCTAGCACCTCTTCCCCAGTGTCTCCAGCAGAAAGATATGTGTGAGACTCCTGGCGCAGGGGAAATTTGAGAGCTGACAGTAGAATGCTGATGGATCCACCTCTCCTTCCCTTCCGTTAGATCTCAGCATAGTTCCCCAAACTAGGGAACGTATTGGCTTAGCTGTGACTGTCCATCAGTGACCCAGGTAAGGACATAGGCCGGCTGGCCAGGCAGGGGATTTAGCAGCTCTACTAACTGCTGCTACAACAGAGGTAAAGAACTCCTTCTGGGAAATGGGACCCAATAGAATAGTGACACTGACAGAACCCAGGCAGTAGGACTCCAGAGGAAATGATCCACCTCCCATCTGAGACTGACCCCCATTGGGTAATGGGAGCCCTGTTGAAACTCACCAAATCCTCTGAGATTGGCCCCAGCTGGAGGATGAGTCTGTCTCTCTCCTTCTCCCCATTTTCCATTTAGGATCAATCTCCTTCCCAGGCACCAAAAATACTCCACCCATTGTAGGGAGCCCTGCTATTTTGTGGGGTCAGAGAGGCAACCCAATGGGAATGGAAAACGCAGCCACTCAAACCAGACAGAGAAACCTGACGAGCAGCTGCTAAAGAACAGCTGTCAGAGGGAGAGTAACACATTTTGCTTAAGATAACATTCATAAAATTTGCTTAAACTGTCTTGCTTCACTCCTAGATAATAAGCCTGAGAACCAAGTGCTGCACCAACTCAAGGCCATACCCGCCTGCTATAGCAACATCATCTATGCAGACTAAAATGTTATTACTGTTTTGCTGACATGTTTTGGCATTTGAACAATAACCACCTCTATATTAATTAACCCAGGCAGTAGGACTCCAGAGGAGTCCTTGCTGCTAGACCTATCAAATCATTTTTCCTCCATCCACCTGCTGACTATATAACCTATTGTATTGTGTTAATTAACCAGTGTTCACCAGGGTAACCCCTGCGTGTCACTCCATCAGCTGATGTATAATAAATCCTCCGCTTGTTTTCACCTGCATCCAGAGTGTCCTGGCTTATTTCCAACAGTTTGGGGGCTCGTCCGGGATTCAGGCTTGTGAGCTGATCGGGAGCTGGAGACTGAAACCCAAGAGAGGTGAGTATATTTAATTTACCACCTCATTAGGTCTAGGGGTTGACGTCTCTGGTTTCCTTCAGACACATCCTGGTTCCGTTCCCATTTGAGGCATGAGATACCTGGATGAGGGTGAACCAAGTATATGAGGCAGGCCTGAAAGAGGGAGGGAGGAAGGAACATCTAACCCCCCACAGAGGACGAGCACAAGAGGGTTGTGTACTGTTAGAACTAAGGGGCTCGTTACGGAGAGACTGGATAAATCACCAGGGAGTGATTGAGCCGTACGTTAAGCTCGGGATCGGCCGAGTACGCAAGGCGGCAGGCAGCACGAACTGGTGACCCACTCTCTCATTGCACGTAACATTATAAGACCTGGCGGATGCCCCCCAACAGGCACTTAACGTACAAACTCTCGCATAGTGCAAATCCCCGCCGGCAAATGTGAAGGTACCAAGAGGCGCTACAAGGAGAAAAGACCGTACGGTATAAGCCACACACGGAATCTCGGGGGTAAAGGCTGATCCCTAAGAGTGTGTCTGAAAGACATAGCTAACGATGGACAGTTAAGCCGTGTGTGGAATCCCCGAGGAGGTACCAAAAAGCAGAAGCAGGGAGGAAAACCGCACGCAATCTCCGTAAGGCCCAGCCGGTTTGGGAGCCAAAGCACCGAGCCTGGAATTGGAGGATAAGCCCCAGCCAGATCGGAAGCCAAAGCACCCGAGTCTGGGCTGGTGGAGAAGGAACCCAGCGCCTGTCCGGAGGGACTGGGAAGGTCTGAGAGTGAGCTGTAGCTGTTACAGTTGGAAAGTGTGATCCGCTGAACCTCTGCGTTCTCCGGACCGCGTGTTGTGTGTTTGTATGTCATACCCTGTCATTATTTGTTAGAGATTAGGATTGCCAGCAACCAATGACTGAATACACCAATCCATGGGCTGTTTTAAATAACTACTGGGATTTGGAGCAATCCCAGGGAGTGCTCCTTTTCCTGCTAGGGATAATCCTATTCCTTCTACTGATAGTATGTTGAAAACCGCATTTATAATCACTCATCTGAATGAATGCAAATTGATGTATGAGGAGTGAATGCCGCTGACAAGGTCTTAAATGCAAGGGGAGGTCAGCCGAACCTCGAGACCGAGCGGATATGTGAGGGAGTGACGACTCCCCTTATTTCATAAGCTGCTGATAAGGTCTAGACCCAGCAGACCCCTTCTTTGAAGTGTGTAGGTTTAGTTTTGACAGGATACTCCCCTGAATGACTAAAATGAATGGGGATCAGTCTAAGCATACCCCCACCACAGAAAGGCACCCACTACATGTACGTGCATCATGGTCCAAGGACCTGTAAGCATTTAACAGATTGACAGAAAAGAAATTAAAGCCCTGAAGGATAAAATTGAAGCTCAGAAAAGCAAAAAGAAATCCTCCCTATGGTAAGAAATGTAACTTACAAGCAGCAGTGCCTCTGTGCCAAAAGAATGCACTGGGAGTGAGAGGAAAGGATTTCCCAGCCGGCGCACCCATATCAACTGTGCCGCCTCTCCCAAGCTTAGAGGGGGAATTTGGCACATTACCCCTTTACTCCTCTCTATGCCCAGCCCCATATGAGCTATACATCATTATAGATAGGGAGGAGGCACGAAAGATAACTAAAAAAGATCAGCTCTTCCCAATGGAAAAACGGGCTCTAGTAACAACTTTGCCCGATCCAAAGCAAATGAACTTAACAGCTGATGGGAAGTATTCCTCCAAATTCTCAAGTAAAGAATGCCTGCCGACCATCATGCCATATTGACCCTAGGCATTTTGGTTAAAAACATATACACAAGACACAACGCAGGAGCAGAAAAGGGCTGCCAAGCAACTTCAGGAGATTCTCAAGCTTTTGTCAGCAAATAGATAACTACAGCCTCTCTGGCTGGAATCATAGGCAACCCAAGGATGTTTCACACCGCATGAGTGGGGGCTGTCCAGAGGAAAATAAAAACAAAAACAAAAAACAGTTAAAACCCTTCCCTCACATGCTGTTATAATTAGCTTGAGGGCGTGGGAGAAAGTAACCCTAAAGTCAACTGGTAGAAATTAAATTTAAAGATGTAATCACTAGAAGCTAAATCTGCCCTAACAAGGAGACACATTCTGCAACATAAATCTCCTTACAGAGCATGGGCAAGTGATCCACCCCAGAATCAGCAGCATAGATCAACTGCTGCAGCATGGATGTAATGAAAACCCTATACTGAGAAGTTTAAAATTAATAATAGCTGACTGTAATAATACACATTTAGATTTACATATTGAAAAGAATAAGGAGGTGTGGGGGCTAATTGGAAAGCCCACTTTCCTTACCAAATTAATATTGGATAAACTTGCGTCATTAGGAAAGGTCATTTAGCAGGAATCAGGATGGACCATAAGAAGGAAAAAAAACCAAACATGGGAAACGAGAAAGCAAAGAGTTTAGAGTCCTATGAGCATAGTAGAAAGAAAATAAGAAATTCAATTGACACTTAACTGGTTAACTGTATAAAAGAATGAAATCTATACATTCAATCCTTCAGGTTAAATTTACTCTTTAAGAAAACAAACCATTGTTTTAAGAATCCAAGCCCTGAAACTTCACTGTGTCTCTGTTCAAGGCTGAGTTGATAGCACTTTTAGCTTGCTTTCAGATCCAAGGTTGTGTCAAGGGGGGGGGGGGGGCACTGTCCCCCATAAGTAAGCCTGTAACATTGTATATGATTCTTTTCAGGAAAAGAAAACCTTTTTGCTTGCTGAAATAATAACTAGCAAGTGCCTTGTTCTAAGAAAAAGTTTGTGGCAGTAAATTATTTGAAGCTTCACACATTAAAGAAAAAAAAAGAACCTGGTCTGCAGTACAAGAGGGAAATTGAAGCATGTCATCTTTAACTTAATAATTGAAAGAAGTAATTTACTCAAACCCTCTGAAGCTGGTGTGCAAAAGAAAGCATACCATTAGGTAACAGCAGGCTAATAAAAATTAAGAAAGAACATCTGTAAAGAAAAAGTATTCTAAAATATAATGCACTACCCCAATGTGGGTAGAAATGTTTTCTTGTCTTTCAGATCATCAGAAAGTGCTGGTGCCAGCTGAAGAAAAACAACAAACAACAACAACAACAAAAAACCATGGTTCTGTGTCATGACATAATAAGTTTGTGTTCTGTCCAAGTTTGTCTTGTGTGTCTTAATTGTAATACATATTGCAAATGTTGTTGTGTATAGAAAATTGTTTTAATGAAAGGATAATTTGAGTAAAGCAGAAGCATGAATTTAAACCAACAAAATTAATAATTGGGCCCAATCCATTGGCAACTCTAAACTTAATCAATTGGCAACTTTAAAATTCAGTAAAAGGATAATAGTTGAGTAATTGTTTAGGCTAGAAGAATGTTAACAATGTCTCCACAGGTGAACAAAAAAGGAACTGGAAGGAAGCAAGGAGCGCATCACGTGAACAGAAGGACTGGGAGTGGGATACCAGCCCCTCCCCCACCGGATTGGTTTTGCTTTAATGGCTACACAAATAAAATATTTAGCTTCTGCAAATTTGCACACCAACCATAAAAGTGGTTTGGCCAGAGATAATAAGAAATCTATAAGAAACAACACGGGCAAGTAAGACATCAGCATATTTAAGTAAAGATGCCCACAACAATGAGGAAACTAGTAACCTCACCATTGCAATAACAGTTACTTGCCTTACTACTCATTGGTGCCTGATGCTTTAAAAGGCCTCAAGAATTATGGAATTGCATAGGTTCCTATTAACAATTAAACATCTGTAAACCATGCTTACTTACTTATTTACTGCCCATTACGCCAATGGCGCATAGGGCAGCAACAAAGTCCTTCCACTTCTGTCGGTCGCAGGCCAAAGCGCCTATTGTTCCCCAAGTGTGATGATGGTCTTTTAATTCTTGTTCTACCGTTCGGCGCCAGGTTGTTTTTGGTCTTCCTCTCTTTCTCTTCCCATCTGGTTTCCAGTGGAGTGCAATTTTCGTAATAGATCCGTCTTCTCTTCGTAACACATGACCTATCCATCGCCAGCGTCTTTTCATAATTATAGTGGCCATGTCTTCTTGTTTACACTGAGACAGTAGGTCTTCATTGGAAATTTTATTTCCATTAAATCATGCTTAGTCCTATTAAAAAAAAAACAAACAAAAAAAACAGCAATTCCAGTCAATGAAACCAGACTTCAAGTCACATACATAGAACAAATATACACTAATAGCGATGGGAAATATACGGCCTTAGGCCGCCCCTCATTCGCACATGATTATTTTATTTATTGTAACAACATGAACATTACGAAGACAAAGAATACACAGTCCTCTGAGTTAAAGTTTGTATAGAATATTGTAGGAAAGAAGCTAAACACTGACATCAGGCCACTGAAGTTAGACCTACTGACTCCCACTGGGGCTTACCACTTAAAGCCCAAACAAAGGTAACCCCTAAGGCATGGCTGTCACTTGTTAAACAAGGGCCATTGCTAAATTGCCCTCATTTAAGTTTTATTAACCAAGTCCTCGAGGACAAAATAGAGCCTCCCAATTGTGCATCGTTCCCTGAACAGAACCCTGTCCCAGAACTAAGACAACTGTCACTGATCCTTACCTTGGTGATGTTCCACACTGGTATAGACCAGCTGTGTGCTAGACTGGCTAATCGAATTGGCAAGTGCCTGATTAGGCAACAACGGGGCTTAGCAGATACCATCGCAGATTGGTTTTGGGCCTGGAAACTCTGTCAGTAACACTTATGTCCAAGCTGGTAGATGCAGTAATATCCAGTGCCTGTAAAGGCCTAGACACTAGCCAAGCTAATCAAGTGAACCTAAATAGTTTGAAGGATCTGTTCAGCTCTGTGTCCACTTCACTAAACCTAACCAGATATTTGGACCAGAGACTAATTAGATTGTTAATTAATCAAACTAAATTAAAGAAATTAAAAGGCCAGTATTGAAGAACAGGGTAAGCTTTAGCCACTACCACCCAGCCCTTATAGAAGTGGTGAGTCCCCATCTTCCCTGTGCCTATCCATGAGAGTG